GTTTTTTATGTGTATATTTCTATAAGTTTATAATTTCCTAAATGTTTACTACCTTCCTATTATTAACACTCTATACATAATATACATACATTTTCTTGATTAAGGATCGATATCAATACCGATAAATAATCGATAAGTATATAAAGAAATGCATATTTATAAATTAAAAAAACATCAATAATAGTCGCGGTAACATCTTATAATAATTAATGAATTGTATATACACGGTTCGTTTAAATAATAGTTAGGTATATGTATGACTTGAAACACAAACGTAAAGATTTAATGAGTTGGCTTATTAAACTTTCGTTGACGACGTCGACCGGTCGTCTCTGTTCGAACTGGTTTGATTGAATCACATCCTATGGTATACACATGAGGTTGCATAAGTCATGTGAAGTAGGATTGCAACTTATATGTATATCCGCATCGAAGTTGTCGCATTTAACAGTGGACTGTAGCCAATTCTATAAATTTTAATTCTATTTTGAAATTTCATTAATTTGGAATTCTATTATTAAATACTATAGCAACAATTTACATATAAATTAGAATAAATATAGATATATAATAATAGACTTTAAAATTCAAATATGTAAACTAAACAGCGAAACAGTAGGTATAATGAACTCGTAACGTTTTTAAAATTTATTCTTGTTTTATTATTTATATACAGTTATTATTATAATTCTAGCGATAACAATAGAATGATAAATTATGTTATTTAAAATGAAATTTTATTATGATCTGTATAATCAATATCCAAAAAATCCCAATATACGACCAAGATGTTGGAATTTGTTGTCTAGACGGCCACTATAAATAAAGTGTACGTTTATATTTTTTATTAAAAACCTGTTGGATTATTAAATATAAAATATTACGTCATAAAGCAACACGTGTACCTATCGGTCTTTGTATGTACTTTTAATGTAAAGATGTATTTACAATGATATTTACTAATATTATAAATGTGAAAGTAAGTTCGTTTGTTACATTATCAAAAATCATTAAATGGAGGTACTTAGCATTTTGTGCGGAAAAGAATTTACTTTTACTTCAGTTAATCAGTTTGCCTTTTAAATATATATAACAAACGTAAATTCATCACAAGTTAAAAACTTATTCCCTTAAATATTATATATAATTTTGATTAAAGTGAAAATTCAACATATTATTAGCTACAAAGCTTTATTATTCGTACTCAATACTACTATATTGAATATACATTTTTTTAAAACTTTGATTAAATATTGAATATATTGAAGACCTACAAGCTGTCTCTACTACTAGAACTAGAAGTTGTAACAGTGCTACTTTTTGTTTGTAAACCTATAAAACAAACACTTAAATTTGAGTGAACTTTACTAAAATTCATTACTGAAAACCAGACTTAAAAACAGTTTCAGAGACTAGGATGCACAATTACACCATACACAGATAAAAATTCTAAGAATTATTGTCTTGGATTAGAGTACATTAATATAGTAGTAGTGTGTGTACTCATATATCTTTCATGTACCGACAATAATCGTCTGAGTGTCATTTTTATTAAATGTATGTATAGATTGAAAAACAAAGCTTTCGGACCAGTAGCATAATTAACATGACTCAAATGATATGGTCCAGATGGGCGCGTCGTGTGAAAGTACGCCACATATGTATTGCGAAGTAGACAAACCGGATCGCAACTTGACTGGGGTTAGTACCAATATACATTATACTTACTATATGCTGATCATTATCAAAATATTATTACGTAAACCCATTCAATACAATCAACTTTGTGGCTTTATTAATAAGACTGATGAATGTGTGTTACAATCAACGATTAGTTTACGATACGAATCATCTATTGAAAATTATAAGAATTCCGAATACATTGTTAAAAAAAAAATTAATAGTCATTGTATACATTGAGATACTTAACAAATTCATTCCTTGATTAATGATGCCTTCTCTCAGTGGCGAGTTGCAATTGTAGTTTTATATACAATTTCGGCCAGATTCAAACTTACAATCGTTAGGCCTGAATCTGATTGGTAAACTACTCAAACAACATGGAAAACCATTCTAATTGATGTATTCAACGTTGTACTAGTTAACGATGTAAAACAATAAATACTGATATTATTCTTACATGTTCGTTAGTATTATTACAGGTTCGAATATATTCAACAAAGGTTATGATAGATCAATCTAAAGCCATCTATCACGAAAAGTTACTCAAAAGGTTAGAATTCCAGTCTTGTATTGTATTTATTTGTTTCGATAACCTACCTTAATGTGTACTTATTAAATTTGATTACAGTAACCTAATGATTAATTTCAAAGTTATTGTACTAGATCGTTAGGATAAAAATTAGTAATATAGATTAAAATATTTTGTATGCAGCTTATTATAACACAAGTTTGTATGTCTAATAATAAATTAATATACCTTTCAGTTACTTTCTCTAATAAATATTACTCAGTAATTAGAAAGGATTGTGTCGACTAGGCGTAATCTTTTTGATAAGAGAAAAAAGGCTAAACAATAATCGTACCATCCATCATAGTGGAACCCTCTTATTTCTTGCAGGGGCTCGCAATGCCGTGGCACAAAGGGCAGATTCACGAATACCCTTGTAATTAATCGCCATCTTGAAATTGGGAAGTACACATCCGTTTCCGGAAAAGTTAAATTAAAATTAATATAATCTCTCACTTTAATTAAACGAAGGGTCCTTACGTCCATCCGGTACGCTTTCACAGTTATTATTATTTTGGAATTAAAGTGTAATTTTGATGAACTAGTTAGATAACACTTTATGGTTAGTTTACCGTTTATTAAGATAACGAGGTTTTGATTTTGAAGCGAGCTTAACGATTGCCGTGTTATGATTATCTACCCATATTTGGCAAGCGTGGTAATTGAGCAATATACCTATTATTGTCACGTATAGCATTTTAGAACTGAACAGGCTAAGGAAAAACGGAAATCATGTTTCATCACATTTCCGAGCGCATGTCATAGCTTTATAACTTCCATTAATGGCCATTACGAAACTACAGAAAAATAATAACGATTTGAATGAATAGTTATTTTCAGAAATTGTTTAAAGTTACAATTCTTATTTTATAAATAAGTATAAGATTATTTTTCAATCTAGGTTATCAAAGAGGTTTCATTGCCGTGAGCATACAAAAAATTTTGGTACAAATTATTTTTTTCTTTTATATGCTACAAAGTTATGGAAAAATTGTTAAATTAAAAAAAATGTTTACAATTTTAATAATTAAATTTCACAAGTACATTATTGTAAATCAGTCTGGTTGTCCCAATTCTCAGTAATACTATGCAATATTATGTTATCTGTGGTAATACACACATCATTCTATGTTTTTTTCTCAATACAATTACAACAATATATGGTGGATTGTTTGAACAACAATTTGTGCTTTGAGCATTGTACCGTAAAATATTTTTTTGTCAACGTTGCAGACATTACACTGAAGTAATACGCACGACGAACAAAAGCAATTGAAGTAAGTACCTTCTTCTTTTTATATACAGTTAAAAAAGTAAAAGGAAATATAATACCTCTGGCGGCAGTGAATGTTTACTGTCACAGTTGTGGTGAAGACATCATTTGATATTTATTAGAGAGTATAATTGACACACAAATACATAAAATATGTGCTAGACATATTTATGTATAATATAATATCCCTCTGTAATTTAAACAACGCCATCTAGTTACAAGTGAAGTAGAGCTCTTGTTATGGGTACTAGACAACTGATAGATATATATATTTTTTGCAAACATATTTAATATACCTACATAGAAATACCCACACCGATACAAACAATCATTCTGATGAATAGATATATTTGTACAGTGCGAGATGCTGAACCCGCGACCATCGGAAGTAAAGCAATGTGCTAAACCGCTAGACCATTGAAAGCGTCACAATATGCAAATAAACTCTATTTCTAATTTTTTAATCACTATAAATGAAATACTAGAATTCAAAACATGTTTAAATCAAATCATTGATCTATATTTATTACAAGCACATGAGATTAATTTTCAGAAACGTACATTTTATTTTTCTATACGTAAAAACCAAACAAAGTAAGACCAAAATAAACAATGCCACCGTTTCCCTAAAAAAACAGAAAACAAAAAGTGACTTGGAGTGGCAGCCGTAAAATTTTTCGCAACAAAAATTCATCGGCCAGTGAGGCGCCTAACAACTTTTATATTAAATTTCTTCTCCGTCAAACTTCTCTCATAAGTCCCGGGGGTGAGAAATCAAGGCGTACATCACTGCATTGTGTGAGGTGTCACTCGAGTTCGTAACTCTTCGTGAGCCTTAGGAATACACCTGCAGTTTGACAGTAGGCATTATGTCATCATGCCCTTTTCATTTCAGGGTAGACAGATTTCAAAGAACGCCATTTTCTCATTAAATATCATTGTATATTTCGTAGGGACGATTGTTCCCTTAACGAATCGTCATACTCAACTTGATAAAAGAATGGACTATTTTGGTTAAGTTTATTTTATTTCAAAGAATTATATTAACGTGTTTCATAAATATAGCCGCCATATATATATTCATAAAATACCTACAATAATACAGTTATATTCATACTTCCATTGTAAATGCAAAATTGTATCTGTCTGCCTGTCTATGTTTTTGCGTGTTATGACTACTGAATGACTGAATAGAGCTTAATGATAGACATAAAAATGATCTGTATATGATGACACAGGCCATCTTTTATGTCAAGATTAATATGGGATAGGATATAAAATTTTGTGCAGACGATGTTACATGTCAGTTCTTGATATTTTAGAACTAAATTTTGTATAACCTACTCTTATACAAATTCTATTTTTACAAATGCCATAATAACAGGTGTAAAAATAATGCTAGATCCATTTCTTTACTCTAAATGAATATCTATACTATTTATTATTAAAATACGATTTCGCTTTATCGAGACATACCTGTGATGGTGACCTGTCTTGGTGCGCATCCTTGGTGGCAGCGTATTCGATTCCTGGTGTAACGGGTGGTGCAACTGGAAAAGTTTATTTCAATTTATTAAAAGATTATGCTTTTACAATTATGGCCATTTAACGTATGAAAATACTTTTTAATATCTTATAAATAATGACTTCTCATATTTAGAGTATTTATTTGTAATCATTTAATGATTTGTATTCATGTTAGACAAATTTCATAGTGCCTTATCTCACCAAATCACAGAAACCGTGGATTTACTTGGTTTTACGATCTAGACTAGATGGCTAATATCTAGGATTAATGGCTCTATTTATACATCAATTAGTCACTATCAGTATCACTATCTATAAGTACTGAGACTTAAGCAAATAATATAAACTTGATGGTAAATAAATTTCTTAGCATTATAACATTATCTTGTGGTTTCAAATATATATTTATCGTGAATCTATCAACATGGTGTAAATATTATTATTATATTTGCTATTTTATGATGATCTAAGTTTATTAGGTCATCTCATTGTAAGATACCTTTATTTTGTAATATTTTATTGTTATGTACTAACATAATAAGGATGAATACGAATTTACCCGTAAAATTATAATTAAGTAACGTCTAAATTTATATCTTCTGTTTGTTTGGTATAGAATAAATCTAATGTAATATACATATATATCAGAATGTTTAAAATTTTTCTAATTTAAGTTATCCTAATTCATGGCAATTATTGTAACTTCATTCGGAAGTTTTCTATAGATTGAGTGATGTTTCATACGCAGATTTTCGCCTCGCACAGGAAATCTTTCTTAGAAAGACAAAAACTTAAATTCTTATAATTTTTAAATTTTCATAGATAGGTAAATATAGATATTTTTCAGATAATGATAGACATACCAGTAGAAATAGCGGGCGCCCTTTTGTCAATATTAGCATTCACTTCGACAAGACTTCGTTTGTCTTCTTGTGTATTTTCCTTATTTCTAGATGCTCTGAGTTCAGCTGCATGGCTGGCGGCCACCAGCAAGAAGAATGCCTGGTAAAATGATTTAAATTACATAGAATTTTTTTATTACTTAGAATGTGAAATATGCTCTATTATCGTTTTTTTCTAAGAACTAAGGGTTGTCTTTGTACCCGATATTTCCACTATGATTTATATAGGATCAAATCGCAATATCATATAAATTTAGTTATAGAAAAAATGTCTTCTAGCCATCATAATATGTCTGCCCGGATGATGATCACGGGTCAAAATCATGATGATAATATATAAATTACTTTTTTATTAGCTATAACAAGCTATAATTATGTAATGTTGTATGAATAATTGTATTACAAATAAATAAGTAAAGTATTTTATAACCTTTACAGCATTGATACAATTGATATGTATCTAACTTTTATTATTTATAATATATATAAGTAGTATAACAGTTTAATATTTTTTATAACTGAAAATAACCACAGTTTTCCTGAATGTAATTTACATGAACATAGCCAATAATAATCCTGTAAACCCATTCCACTAAATATCACCAACACCGATTTTATGTCACATCACTAGTAATAATCGACAAACCGTAAATTTCATGTCACACTGCGCACGCGCCGGTATACACTCACAAGCACCACACTACAACGAATGTGGCAAAGGCAGTGAGCCGAAGCTTATATCGTCTTTGCTTGTCACCGTAGGCTGTTGCAGTGGTGATGAGGTGATTTGATCGTTGTGCATAAATAAAATACTATTATGTATAATAATAGTCTCATACAAGGTTCTGATTCACGCTATGTCTTTTTAGTAAAAAATTTTCAGACGACAGTATCCGACATAGTTTACTTTTGCATAATATACTTGTCTGTAGGTATCAAAACAATATATGTATATTGTGCTAAGAAACTGATATAAATTAAAATAGTGTTAAAAAAGGAAAAGATAAAAAAAGGAAATAATTAAATGTTTTCTATTTAATTAAATATTAAAAAAACCTTTTACTAGACCAATGGAGGGTCTAGAAAAAGGGATTTTCGGTAGAAAAGTATGTTGACTCTAGGACTTCTGGGATACATTAGTAAACCGCCATTCACTATTCCATGGATGCAATTTTGTATGGCCCGTGTAATGTAATTAGCAGTAGGTAGGTACATAGTATTTCTATGTTGACGGATGGTCTGTAGCAACACCCGTCGTTACTTACATATCTCTGACTCAATACACGTTGCAAATTAAAGTGGTTATCTACTTCTTATGAATTATGATATTAATAGTGCCAGTTAAATTGGATTAAAGATTGTATTATATTTTTAAGAAACGTGTACTTCTATTATGGTACAGATATAAATTCTGATTACAAATTAATATTTACAATAATTGGAAGAAACTAATAACAAGTTTTATTTGTAACCAATGCGTCGATTTAGCATGCTAATGTCATTATTTGTTAAGCTATAGTACGAACGTATTATTAATCAAGTCCTTTCTTGACGTTACAGAAATCAATATTATTTTATTTCGTCAGTCAAGTACTTTAAAAATAAAAAGTTTAATTGTAGTTTAATTAACCTTTTAGAAATCAAATGGCAATGGTAAGATTTCCTGTTATCCTTAAAGGATTTCGAGTAATCTCGGATTTCCAATACGAATTAAGTAGGATTAATAATTTTAAGTATTCTTAGCTTTTCGTAGCGTATTTCTCTAATTTCAACGTTATATGATATTGTTGTTTTTATATAACATAAATTACAAAGAATGAAAATAATTATAGTTACGGATCAAGACTAATAATAAAACTTCGAGATCATGAAATAAATTGGTTCATTTTCAACAATATTTATGCCATTTTATAGATTATATAAATAAATATATATCTATAAAATATGAATACGAACCTGAAATTCTTTAATAGAATCAAGTAACCAATATTTTTTTCATAATTTTTCATAAAGAAAACCCAATCTTAAGAAGATAACACAGTTGTACGTCAATCTGTCCGAATGATGTTCAATGCCCTTTTTCCTTAAAATGTCACATTAACAAAAGTAATGATTATTCTGCTCTATTCATTCATACTTCATAAGTAAGAAAAGACAACTTCATAAATATATTTTGGTAAGCGGAGTGGTCAATAACATGTTGGAATTGGAAAAAATCTTTGTTTTATGGATAAATCTTGTATTTATTTTTCAGACTAGAAGTCAACAATTACTTATATATAGTTTGCTCTCTGATCGAATGTTTTTTTAATGGGTATTCAAATTACGACGTTCGAACCCCTAGTAGTTTTCTCAAATATGAGTGGTATTGGAACAAAACGGTAGGAGTTTGTTTTCAGACGCTTCATAACTCTTTTTGTGGATTTGGAGTACCTTTTGCACTGGACCCCTTTTCTTCGGGTGAAGCTGTAAAGGTCAATTGCATTAGTTTTTTTTACAATTAGTAGGCTAATTATAAAAAAATAGGCGTTGAGAGGTGAGACGCTGTGACTAATGTACTTAACTTAAAGAAGACTTCCAGATGAAGTCGAAACAATTATCTCAAGAAATGAATAGCTAGTAAAGTCACTAAATAACCGTACATATGTAGTTATAAAAATGTTGGTGCTAAATGAGCAAGTCTTAAAAATTGCTTCCATCACTTAGACCTACAGCTGATTTACAGTTCACTTGTTTTGACAAGTGGTAAATCAGGTTTTTATTACTTCAAAGTAACAATGAACATTATCCTTTAGTTAGTACTAGGTGATAGAATTTTGCTTGCAAATGCAAAAAAAAAATATTTCCACTTATATTATAAATATGTTAAATCTAATGTACCCGAAAAGGTATATTGGCCAGCCAATTGTATAGTTGCATTATAGAATTTTCAGTGAGATACCCAATATTATCGAAATCGTATTCATTTACCTGCAATAACACGTAATTTTATATCTATGCAAATGTAATGTAATTTCTAGCGAAATTAGATCTTAATTGCGTAGATTATCGATTATTTGTTGTCCAAATTGAAAAGGATACAGCAAAGAAATATTATCTAACGAAGCAAATGATATAAGTAACAGTTATAAAATATATACTACATTTAAATTTACTTGCTGTCGTTCTGTCTTTTGCATAAAAATGTATGACATAACACTATATCGGTAGTTACGAAATTATACATAGTTTTATTTTGCGGTAGGTACCTACATATAGTTCTAGCACGTCTTTAATGTTGTCATGCTCTAATCTCACAGATTTCATAAGATTTACGCTTAATAACTTGCCCATCCACAACCGGATCAGTAGACTAGTGACACGATAATTTACGATGTATTTAAAATAATAACCACTGTCGCTACTGTTATAATTATGAGCGGTTAATGTGAATTAGGGTATGTCCACCATTTTTGTAGGTTTATAAAATAGTAGTGAACTTAGAATCTATTTCGTTTAATTACTTTTAAAAATAAATTATGTTTTAGGTAATACCTATTTTCAAAGAATATTATATAATATGTATTATTAATAGTACTTATTACATAATATTGTCTTTTTTTACAGAGGCTTTATGGTTACTCAAAATGTTTTTTTATTCTTTCTAGCCAACATTGCTTCCTATCTGTATTCTGGCCTGGGAAAGCTGCTGATTACCATTCATTTCAGAAAGTGTGGAAAAGATAGTGTCGATGACTCCTTACCACACAGTGGAGCTTTCAATTAATTTCCTTACGATAGTTGGCGACAATTAACATTTTGTTCCTCTACTAAAACGATCTTTCTCATATATTTATTGCATGCAGATTGTGTATGATTGATAACGTAGTGATTGTTGTCTTAGGGGCATTGCCAACTGTTGGTTGAGGTAAATACATGACAAACCCACATTTCGCTGGGATATTTGAAATACGATCTACTTTCTCACTCTAATTTCTCATACGTTTTCATACCAATTTATCATTTTAAAGTTTTGACAACTAACATTTACTAATTCAAACAAAACTGCATAAAAATGTCAGAATGACCGAGATATGTTATCTGATACATAAATAAGTAATTTTTATAAAATATTAAGGAGATTCTTTGTAGTATATTAAGGAGATTGATTGTATTTTTTATATACATATTAAGGAGAATAAAATGAACGATATAATAAATTTAAATAAGTTATTATTAGACAAGTTGTCATTAGATTAGTTATTTGTTTGTTTTCTCAAAAGACGTCCAATTTTCTCCAGCAACAGGTGTGTGATGTTATCATTTCATAATCTGATTTCCTTTTAAAACAAGGTCATCGATGCTCATAAAATTGCTACACACTAGACAAGTTTGTTATGCATAAGTTATATCGATCTAGTTGACTAAATTGTAAATTATCAATTATATAATAATTCGTATATCGGGTATATGCTATTATTTAAATTTTATTATCGTTCTATTTAAAAGTATATGTTTAATGTACTTCTTAATTTTAAGAGTACTATTAGATATTAGTAAATTTTAAATATTAGTATTAGTATCTTATATTAAAAAAAAACAGTTAACATTTAAGTTTCTCAATATCCGAATAATTTACTTTGTTTCCCTAATATAACTTTTTGTAGGTCATTCATTTTTGTAAGAGATTTTCTTTCATGTCGTTAATATTCTACTATTATATAGTATTCCGTGGATGGTTGGACTGTGTGAAAGATGATATGGTGAGAAAGGGAGTAAATAACGGAATGACTGCGAACAGAGATGAATGGAAGAGAAAAACATATTACGCCGACCCCAAATAAATGGGATAAGGAAGAAGCAGATGATGATGATGATGATGATGATGATATAGTATTTCGTATTCCGAACTTCCTTAGTCTAAGCAGGTTCTATCATGGGCTGGCTTAGTGAAGTAAAGGGCGCTTGGTTATACTGGGCACAAATAAAAACATGTGGCCACTTAAATTTCGAATATACAATAAAAAAACCATTGAAAATAAGATCGGGAATAAAAAGGAAGCTCCTTATTTTTCATTATATTAAACAAGAAAATTATTGGTTTAATTATTATAATATAATTGTTTTTATAAAAATATACAATCTAGAGTGCGTGGCCACTAATCAGTACTACACATCGGGACGTTCCGGAGTAAGTGTAAAAGTAAGTTGGGTGTTACATTGCTTACTTTGGGGTGTTCGGAGTGTCGAAGACGTTCTTCCCGGTTGAAATCGTGTTTTTCCTTCCTTTTCGAATAATTATATTCTTTTTAAAATATACAGTCCACTGTCTATTTTATTTATTCTATATACGGATTCGTAATCCAACAGTAGATAATATAATATTTTTGTCACAGTGACGTTACAAAAACAAGTTTTACTGTTGTTGTAGTAATTCTGCTCGTGTTATTTTTGTCATGTGACCCTTTTGCGAAATACCAAGTTATGTGGCATCGTCGTACCGAGTTAATATTTCGAGCATCCGCGGTAATGATGTGGTGATTAAAGTAAATTTTGTCTCGTAATTATTTTCAAGCGCATCGCAATTTTAGATGATATATTCTATTCATTTTAGAGTTTATGTTGATTTCTTTAGAAATTATTTGTATGGAATATAATAAAAATACTCTTGAACAATTCACACAGCGCCATCTAGTCCCATGTTAAGCAGAG